TTATGCCCAACATATCTGTTGGGAACAGCATAATGAAAGGCCAGTCAGCTAACCTCAGTGGTGGGAAAATTACTAGGAAGAATTCTGAGGCAAAGATTAAACCACATTCAGAAAGACACTGATTGAACAAGGGCAGAGAGTTTTGATACCATATCTGGAACACTGTCAGCAGATTAGGTCCCCTTATCTAAGGAAAGATATTATTTCATGGGAGGCAATTCAGAGAAGAATGACCCTTGGAACGGAGGGATTGTCTTTTGATCAAAGATTAAGCAGCTTGGGACTCCACTCACTGGAATTTAGAAGAATGAAAAGTGATCTCATTGAGACGTACAGGGTCCTTAAGTGGCTTGACTGAGTAAATGCTAAGAGGATGTTTCCCCTAATGGGAGAGTCTAGGACCAAAGGGCAGAGTCCTTCTGTATATTTAAGGCTGTGTTAGATAGAATCATGATCAGTTGAAGAATCAATGGTTATGGGGAAAGGGCTGGAAAGTGAACGAGGAATATCGGAAACAAAATCAGAAATTACTGGAAAAGCTCAGCAGGTCTGGCAGCATTTGTGGAGACAAATCAGAGTTAACATTTCAGGTCCAGTGACCCTTTCTCATAATTCTTTCGGCTTTTAGGAGAAATATCAGATCAGCCATGATCCTATCGAATGGTGGAGAAGACTTGAGGGGCCAAATGGCCCACTCCTTCTCCTATTTCCAATGGTCATATGTTCTTAATGCACATGACTGATGTTCATTCAGATGGATATGGGCTATCATCCATCAACAACCCAGGCCTGATCATCCTACACAAGCTGGGAATCACCGGAATGATCTACACTGGAGTGAGATCACACATTGAGGGAAGACCTCAGTGAATTGATCACGAAATACAGTGGTTGCATGTATTGTACCAGAATGCATGTTTCTGCGCAGAAGATTCCTACTCATCGTGTTTTTGAAAGAAACAAGCCTGAGATTTATTGCTGCCTGCCCGACAGGCTTTAACTCTGCAGAAATCCAACTTTGGAAAAACAGCCATGCTTTTATGTTCCCCACCTCTACTTCATGACATCTTCTCTGCAGTTCCATGCAACAATCTTTTAAAACCACTCAGGAGGAAAGTGGTGTGATTGATTGTTCAGTGTTCCCGTCTTCCTACAGGGAAGTATTGCTGCCAGAACTCCTGGTCACTGAATGTACTCTCCATCAGACTGACAAGCTAGCACATTGGAAACTGGAGCAAAACGAGGCCATTCAGCCCCTCAAGCCTGTCCCGACATTAAAACAGATCATAGCTGACCATCGACCTCTACTTGATTTTCCCACACCCCTAACGCTTGATGTAACTAATATCCAGGAGTTCCATGTAGGTTCAGATTTTGAAGATGATAGGTAATAGAAAAAGCTAGCCAGGAATCTGTTTGCTGTCAAACAACACTTTCATTCTTGCTCTCATCAGGGCCATTTACAAGAATATCAAACATAAAGGGAAACATTTTCTGTCATACCGTGCTGATTAGTTGGCAAGTGGACTGAATGGTAAAGGCATTGTCATGGGGAATTCACTGGTTAGATGATAATTAGCAGTTAACTGCCAAGAAAGATAGTAGGAACTGCCGATGCTGGAGTCTGAGATAACAAGGTGTGGAGCTGGATGGACACAGCAGGCCAGGCAGCATCAGAGGAGCAGGAAAGCTGACGTTTCAGGTCTGGACCCTTTTTCTGAAGAAGAGTCCAGACC